ATCAGCCTGGCATACGCAGGCATTTTGAGCCAAATGACTGTTGGAAATAACAAAGAGTTAAGTAATAGGAACAAAAACTTGAATTTAAAAGAAAAGGTCACACTTACACACCTTGCCATTTCCTCCTTTATGTGGTAGGAAATGTCCTTATAACCATTTGTGGCGTCTCCAATTTTCCCAGTGAAGAATTTTTTAATGGGCGTAACCTGGCTTGAGCTTATGTCAACTTCTTTGCTGCTAGGTTTCCAAAAATAACAGAGGGCGACCAGAAGAATTCCACTAAGCAAAGCAAGTTGAACACACTTCCTAGAACTGTTGTGCATCTAGAAAGAAAATTTGTATAGATATCATCAGGTTGATAAAGCAAAGTGGCTTGGGAGGGACAGACATTATGTGTTTCACACTGGAATTACTGTGTTTCAGTGGGTCATTGGAAACTTGAAATGAGCCTACACTTTATTAGTGCTCGATGGAAAACCTATCTAGGTGCAAGGCCGAAAGCCAGACATGCACACTGCAAACATGTGCTGAAGACTACAGTACAAAGTACTAAACCATAAAATAATTGAACTTGTAGACTTATAATTTCAAAGATAAAGTTTACCTAACTTTATTAGGACTGTCAAACCTTATTTGAAGACGTATTATGCTGCAGATGCACAAATCATCACAATTTTATGTGGTCTGAACTGGAAAATCATTGGTTGTGTAACCACAATCAAATTCAAATTTTATTTGTCACGTACACAGTCATACACAGTACGATATGCAGTGAAATGCTTAGACAACTGCTCGTGACCTAAAGAAAACAAAAAGGAAAAGGCTATGAATAGGATAGGAAATAAATATGAAAAATTAAAAAGGGTAAATTTAACTAGGAAGGAATAAAATATAAAAAAATGAAGGTTAAAAATGAAATAACTGTACAACAAAATACACAATATAGAACTATATAAGAATGTATGAAGAAATATAAATAAATATATATATACACAATAACAGCAGTTTGTCGGTATCATAGTTTCTGTGGGATTTAATAAACAAAATCTACAACTACAGAACCTGTGTAGATAATCATTTGAAAGGCAGCAGGTCAAGTCTGTAGGACCATCTGTGATCGTTTGTAACCATCAATTAATCAATGTTGGTCTTTAATAGGTATTTTTATATAACTGACTGAGCTACATTGGCTGCTTCTCCAGCGGACGCATAATCCTAACAACTGAAGTCTGAATGTAGCTGTAAATGGTTATGTTTGTGAAAAATTGTAGATCTGCTTTCATTTAATGTTTCCACTTTCCAAGATATTGTCAAGAAAATACAGACTTACTGACTTGCCAATTTAAGATGTCAAATTTGTGCTTCCAAAAGACACAAAAGGAAGTGTTATCATAATTTAAAGGAAGGAAACATTTTTTATTAAGAAGGAAACACACAATGCAAAGGAATAGATCAGCCTGACTACAGTAGGGAAGTTTACTTAATGTCTTTGATTTATTTGGTCCGTATTCTTCCCTCCTAATTAGTTCTTACTTTTAGAAAACATGACAATATTAGTACAATTTTGCTGTGCTGACATTATCATTTAAAAACTAGAGCTAGGGTTAATGTGTAGTGTGCAATGTGTTTGCTCTTTCTGTCATATGGAGGGCAACTAGCATTGCATGTGGGAAATAACTATCATTTATTTACTTGCACTCAGCCACTCATCACTGGCTGATAGTATTTCCTGCTTTATAGCCTGAATTATTGGATATGTCAGGTAATGAAACTAGCTTTTCGTTTCAACCTTCAGGAGGAACAGGTTTTTACCACGCACTGTGGTTTGTTGGAGGTTGTTACAGTAGCTTCCTTGTATGGCACTTAACAGTGATCACTTATCAATCAAGTTTCAGACCGAGGTCTCACACTCAAACATGCCCACTCTCATCTCAGTATTGGATGAACTGGGGGATATACATGTAGCAATGATATTACAAATGAACTGAGTGCTTGTTGAAGACTTCTGCACAGCAGTGTTTAAAGATATAACTTCGCATTTTGGAGTGCTACTGTACTCTTTCTTTCAGGCTTTAGTTTCAGGCTTTAGTTTACAAATCAGCAGGTACAGGATGTAACGCGCAACAGTTCTTATCTATATATATCTATCTATATATATATATAGATATATCTATATCTCTATATCTATATCTATATATTCTAGATAATTTTCTTTCTTTTAATTTATCCAGCTGAAAACGTAATATCTTGTATTAAATTAATATTTTATATTAAAACATATATTAAAACATCTTACCGAAATGGGATGCTGTCTAATTATTTTATATTTATTTACCTCTTGGTAGCTTATTTGCAGTACTTATAACCAGGCAAGGCAGCTTTAAAAACAGCTTGCAAACACTTTAAAAAAGTGTTTCTGTTCTTATTAATCACTGAGTCACTTGACACAACAGATTTTACAGAAAATCGTTGGGATGCAGTGGAACAGGAAGTTCAAATCATGAGGAATGTTTCTAGAACCTCGCTGAATCTACGAAGCTCTGAAGGCAAAACCCAGTGCTAGCAAGAGCCTTAGTCAAATCAGCTCAAAGTTAACTAGATCCTGGTACACCACAACGCTTTTTTTTTTTTTTTTTTTTTTGATAAATAAACTTGGGGGCTAAACGATCATTCAAAAATGTTAGTTAGTGTTTTTGGCAAAATGAGAATGCTCCGTTTCATATTTTCTTAGACAATTAAAACTATTTAGCACAACATATTCGCACACATTGTAGCCCCATTACAAAGGGAAATGAAAGAAAACCACTGCACTCTGAATATAACCAGCAGCCTGCACTTTTTCAGAAGATATGTGACAGTAGTACAGGAAAAAGAAATGTTTCTTACTGTTGCTGCTTCCCTGCGATAAAGACGTTCTTTACGGCGGAGAACTCTCCAACCAGCTTTGCATAGGGTGCGTTCACGTGTTTGTGGGTTCTAGGCTGTCAGTATACGTTACAGCTGACAGCCACACCTCATTTACAAACCAACTGCTTCCGACTGGTCAAAGTGTAAAACATTTTCTTTAAAAAGAAGGCCATTTTTGAAAGGTGCGAATGTCCCCTGAATGAAACCTGATTATTATCCATTCAGTGGTTTTGTAAAATTCATGTGGTGCTATAGTACTGTTACAAATTAATATATTGCCAAAACCACACTTGTTTTTAAGCTCACAATTTACTATAGTAAGGGTTGAAGCTAAAAGAAAATATGTTTGGAGAGTCAAAGGCTTAACATATACAAACATGATTAGAAAAGCCTCGTCAGTACCTACAATAACTTAAAAGTATTATAACCTTTTGGGTCACACCAGCCAGGCCGATTACAGGTTTTGTCTGTGTTCCATTGCTGCTCCCTTGTGGGCGACACAGAGTGTAACTCTGCAGGCCACTTTGGAGGTCTGTGCCTGTCAGAGATTTACAGTTAACAGTCAGGTGAATAAACAACACTGAGACACTCGAGATAGTTAACGTGCTGCACGGGTGAAATACTCAGAGAGCAATCACACCGAACTGCAGTATTCGTTTATTTTCATAGGTTACATTGTCAATATGCAAATATAATCACATTTCCTGTCTGTGTGTAAGCTGTGTGTGTCACGGAGTGTGTGTGCTACAAGTCAATTTCTAAGAATAAGATACTGCAAGTCAACTTCTGCGGATATGTATTTCTGTACTGATCTCTTGCGGTAAAGGTCACAGAGTCAGCTTCTTGTTTCAACAGAAAACTGTCTGGTGAAATATGTGAACATAAGTATAACATAACATTTGAAGCATAATCAAATAAAACAGTAAAAACTCCTTAACAGTGCCTTTTTTTCTTTTACAGTTTTTCCCTCATTTGCTTTGGTGCATTTCTCACAGAATTGATCTCTGCACCACTACTAAGGCTCTTCTCAAAACAATTAGTGCAAACTGCAAAACATGGTGGATAACTTGCAAAAGTGAGTCACTTCATCAAAAAGAAAAGTCAGTTGTTCAAAATAAGTAGTCAATGCTTCAAAAGCAAGTCCCTTAATCAAAACAGATAATATATCCATCAAAAGCAAGTACTTATATCAAAGTGTCAGGGCTGTCACAATTACAAGTCACTACACCAGCACCTTTGGTCACAAAATCAAATGGTTTGAACATGTTCTCATTGTGACGGATTTCTTTGTAGGTGCTTCCCAATGACATGTCAAGTCTGGACAGCATGCACGGCATGTTGAAAACCATAAATTGTAAAGAAAAATCAAGACAGTTCATATGCACTCTTGATAATATTTAATTGAAACTGTTTACAGCGTAACCTGGACGTGTGTCCCTCTATCTATAAAGAGATGATCTATACTGCTCGCCCAAGTGCAATGTCTACAATATCCGAATCTAGGTTTGGGAAGGAGATTGGCGGTAGCAACTCTGTAAGAGCAATGAGACTTCCAACCCACATAACACGCACGACCACAGGTTTATGAAACAAAGTTTGCTTTATATATTTCCTTTTGGATCAGTTCCCTTTGCTCATCCTCAATGTAGGGATACCTTCAAATGCAGTAACCATCTCAAATGCATCACAAAAATAATTGAAACAATCAAAATAGATGTAAGACAAGAAACACAATATTTCAACACCCCAAAGAAAAGGAAAAAGAAAAGAAAATAGCACGTGAGTGTCCAGTTCCTTATGGTGTCAGTTTATTCAGTTACCCACTGTCCTGGGTTAAGAACTGAAAACGACCTGAATCTCAGGCGGAGAAAAAGTAGCAAAGAAAATGATAAGGTATCTCTCAGGTGGGCTTCCTTTTGTTTTTTTCCCTACCGCCCTCCTGGTACGGCAGGCATCAACGTGTCGGCGTCCTGACACAGAGAAGGCCTCCACAGCAGCAACAGTGTCTTAGACCCACGATACCAGCTCCTCACTTGGCACCCATGGAACTGTACCTCAAAAAAAAAAACCAGTCTGCACACAAAAATGCAGAATGTTAGATGTCCACATTCCTTAAATGTCCTTGTTCCTAATGTCCTTGGTTCTTTTGAAATATTAAAATAAATCTGCATCTTGTGACACATTAAAAGTAAATACACCGGTATTACTGTGCATCACCCGCAGTTACAGTAACAGCACAGCTATTGCACGTGAACTGCGCATAACCACTTAGCTGGCCGCGGCTGAACTAGCAGGCCCAAGAAAGTAAAACACTAGACACTCATAATAAACAAAACTGTCACAACATTGCAATACTATGAAAACACATCTTAAACATCATTAAACACATTTACTACTATTCTGACTGGTTAGTTATTTTTTTCCAGTGCATTGAACTGCAATAGCGGTGCTAAGTGAGCTAGGCTAACTCACCAGAATAGTTCAAAAAGTTCAAAGAAATACTCCGGCTCCTTTCAGGTAGGTACCCGTCTGTGGTTCACCGCTAACGACAGCTCTCTCACAAATGTTAATTAAACCTCTTTCCTCTCTTTCAACTGGAAAAAACCGTGCTCCGCGGCAGCATGGAGTTTTTCCTTGCCGTCCTTTTTCCTCTACACCACACCTTCACTCGCACGGAGCTGCAGATGGTGCCTTCAGGGCAAGCCCGGAAATTAAACTATCAGACAAGGACTACGATGCATTCAAAGAACCCTGTACTTCTGATTGCTGTAAATCTTACCAGGGTTACATTCTCCCCCTCTAGACTGCATGAGTCCCACCATGCATACCTGCCCCTACCGGTACAGACACATGTGAAATAGCAGCCCCTAAAGCCTGAAAGAATGAACTAATGGCCAAGGTTAAAGGCTCCCCCAGCTCATCGTAGGTGAGTTTCCGAGGCGGACGTCTCTCCCTAGTAGAACGCCGGACACTTGCGTTCTCGGACTCTTGACTCTCAGATACTACATTGTCAGTGTCTGCAACTACAGGGTCTGTGGTGATGAGATCTGTGTTCTCTTCATCAGGTGAGATTTGTGTCACATCAGGTTCAGGAATATCAATGACAATATGGTCCGGAGTCCTACAGTGTGAAGTAGGATGTGTAACTGAACCACTATTCTCAGAGCTAACATAAGGAATTCCTGGTTGAAGCTCGTGAGTAGGTCTTTCAGGTAAGTGTGCGGAACTTTGGGGCACAAAAGAAGGGGTGTCTGGGTTTAATACCCTGGAAACTGGCTGAGGCTCATTGAAGCCTCCTTCCCTCTGCAGGAAAGGACCCTTCGTGATGATTTCTGGCATCCATGTATTAGGATACAGTTCATCTTCATCACTGTACGACTCGTCCTCCTGACAATCAGTGTCCCCTTGCACGCCTTTTGTTGTTTTGCCCCTCAGTCTCATTTTCCTCGATGCGTCAGTGGAAGAACTTTGCTCTCTGATCTCAGTTACAGGTAGGAACCCGCACGGCAAAAGAAGGTCTCTATGCAACGTACGGTGTGGCCCCTCCCCTGTCTCAGGTTTGACTACATAAACAGGACTGTCGCTAATCCGTCTGACAACAACATGGATTTTCTGTTCCCACCGATCTGCCAGTTTGTGTTTCCCCCTGATATTCACGTTTCTCACTAAGACCCTATCCCCTTCTAAGAGTTCAGCTGCCCTGACCTCCCTGTCAAACCTAGCCTTGTTCTTCTCTCCCATCTTCTTGGCATTTTTAGCAGCTAATGAGTAGCTCTCCTGTAGGCGTTGACGAAGGCCCTTGACATACTCTGAGTGGGTCTTGTGACTTGCCATATCAGGTTGGATTCCCAGGACAAGATCAATCGGCAGTCTGGGCTGCCTACCAAACATTAGTTCGTAAGGCGAATAGCCTGTTGTACTGTTTCTCGTGCAATTGTATGCGTGGACCAGAGGTTTGACAAAATCTCTCCAATGATATTTGTCTCTTTCTTCCAGGGTCCCTAGCATACCAAGGAGGGTCCGGTTAAATCGTTCCACTGGGTTTCCCCGGGGATGGTACGGGGTGGTACGAACTTTGTCTGCTCCAATCAGTGTGCAGAGTTCTCTGATCGTCTTAGACTCAAAGTCCCTGCCCTGGTCGCTGAGCAGACGACTGGGGAACCCGTAGTGAACAATAAAGTTCTCCCATAAAGCCTTCGCAACAGTTCTGGCTTTCTGATCCCTAGTCGGCACCGCCACAGCAAATTTTGTAAAGTGGTCGGTGATGACTAAAATGTTTCTCGTGTCTCTATCATCCGGCTCAAGGGATAGATAATCCATACAAAGAAGTTCAAGTGGATAAGTAGCAGAAATGTTTTCCAAAGGCGCGGCCCTCTGAGGCACAGCCTTCCGCCTGAAACAGCGTTCGCACTTTTTGCACTTCTCCTCGATGTCTCTGGCCATTCTCGGCCAGTAGAACCTGGCACGAGCAAGCTGAAGTGCACGCTCAGAACCGAGATGGCCAACATCATCATGCACTCCTTGCAGTGCCCTCTCTCTGAACTGTTCGGGTAAGACCAACTGATACACCAGTTCGCCTCGCTCAGACCACTTCCTGTACAGGACACCATCCCTGAGTTCAAGTTTTTTCCACTCCCTAAAAAGAAGTTTGACATCGGGATGTTCAAGGTTTGTCTCTCTGAAACTGGGTTTTACAGCTCTCCTCACAAAGGTGATGACACGTGAGAGAGACGGATCATTATTTTGAGCATTACACCAGTCAGAGTTAGCCATGGATGGTAAAGTGCCCTCATCGAAAACATCAGGCACTACAGAAGGGTCGACAACAAGAGACTCCGCAATGACAGGCTGCTCTGAATGAGGGTGACGTTCATCTTTAACCATCACAAGATGACGTTGACATAATGCAGAGAACACCTCATGATCCATGTCATCTCCTGCTTCCATGAACCGTTTTTTCATGTCCTCTATTCTCTCTCTTTCTTTAGTGAAAGCTTCATCCTCAAGAGGCGGACCTTGAGGCCGCCGGGATAACCCATCTGCATCGCGGTTGGCCTGCCCTGCTCTGTACTTGATGGTAAACTGGTAAGTAGAAAGAGCGGCTAACCAGCGATGACCAGCAGCATCTAACTTCGCAGATGTCAAGACGTATGTGAGGGGGTTGTTGTCGGTAAGCACAGTGAAACTTGACCCATAAAGGAAATCACTGAACTTTTCACAAACGGCCCACTTTAAGGCCAAGAATTCGAGTTTGTGCGTAGGGTAGTTTCTCTCGCTCTTGGAAAGACCTCGACTGGCATACGCGACAACTCTGAGCTTCCCCTCCTGCTCTTGATAGACCGCTGCCCCCAATCCATCGCGACAAGCGTCAGTATGTACAACATATGGTAGTTGTGGATTCGCAAAAGCAAGGATGGGCGCAGACGTCAGTTTCTTGATCAGGGTTCTGAATGCACTCTCACACTCTGAAGTCCACTCCTCACCGAGCGGTGCATTAGGGCTCACAAGAGTCGTGAAGCGTTCCCTCTTGTACACTTTGCCCCTTTTCTTTGGTGGATAGTAGCCTGCTGTCAGGCTATTAAGAGGTTTGGCTATCTGGGAATATCCTTCGACAAACCGCCGATAATACCCAGCGAAGCCTAAGAAACATTTAAGCTCTTTCCTATTTGAAGGACGAGGCCAGTCTCTCAAGGCGGATATCTTGTCAGGGTCAGTATGAACTCCTCGTGCATCCACGACATGACCAAGATACTTTACTGACGTCTTAAAGAAGTGACATTTCTCCGGAGAAAGCTTTAGACCGAAATCTTTAAGACGGTTCAGCACCTTCATGAGTCGTGCTTCATGTTCTTCCAATGTGTCTGAAAAGACAATCAAGTCGTCCAGAAACACCAATACCTCATTGAGATGCAAGTCACCGACACACCTTTCCATAAGGCGCTGAAAAGTGCTTGGTGCGTTCGTGACACCCTGAGGCATGCGATTGAATTCAAAGAAGCCGAGGGGACACGTGAAAGCGGTTTTAGGCTTGTCTTCTTCGGCCATCTCAACCTGGCAATAACCAGATTTAAGGTCCATGACGGAGAACCATTTAGCACCGCTAAGGGCAGCAAAGGTCTCCTCAATGTTCGGAAGAGCGTATGCATCTCTGATGGTTCGAGCATTTAGCTTCCTGTAGTCGATGCATAACCTGATAGAACCATTCTTCTTCCGGACCAAGACCACTGGGGATGCAAAAGGGCTCTGTGACTCTTTAATGATTCCTGCATCAAGCAGTTCTTTAAGATGCTCCTTGACTGCCTCCCTGTCACTGGGATGAATAGGCCTTGGCCTCTCCTTAAAAGGAGTCTCGTCATGTAGCCTGATGTGATGTTTCACTGCAGTGGTGTGACCATATGACAGGTCATCCACAGCAAAGACTTCTGGAATAGATCTAAGCTTGGTGGTGATACGATCTTTCCATTGTTCAGATATTGGTGAATCATCAAGATTGAACTCGAGGTTGTCACTGTCAGGCTTATTGTGATGAGAGTCACCTTTCACTGGTCCAAGTGATGTGACCTGCTGAGCTGCACATATTTGAGCAATGATGCATTTTGGCTGCAGCGTAACATCATGGTCACTAAGATTGCGCAGGACGACCGGGACTTAAATGGAATGTCCATCAGAGCAGCTTCAAGGAACACGCCACCTGGCAACCTGTTATGTTCATTGGGTTCAAGCACAAATGTGGTCTGACTGTTCCTTTTCAACCTGACATCACCTGTGATGCAGCACTTTTGTTTTGCAGGGATGGTGATGGGGTTTCCACCATGTAACCTGACAGGATGAGCATGGTTGTTGAGGTCATGGATCTGGGCAATATGCTGGAAGATCACTGCAAAATCTCTAGAGAAGAGTTTGCAAACAACCTCTGGACCATCCTGTTCAAGTACTTGTTCATAAAGTCGTAATAACACATTGGTACCAATCAACAGGGGGTCCTGCTGTTGAACTGACACTCTGGCACCACAAGTGCTAACACGACTAGCTCCTCTTTCTTGCCAGGAACAGACAGCGGGAAAGTGACACGCGCTTCTATGTAACCAAGATAGGGGACCTGCTGTCCACCTGCTCCTTCGATTTCAAGAAGGGCATGAATTGGATGTATAGGTAAGTGAGACAGATGGTTCTTATGGAAACACTCGGACACTGTTGTAACTTGTGAGCCGGTGTCCATTATGGACTCACACTGCACACCCTCAAGAAAGACAGAAGCCGCACAACGAGGACCTACAAGCCCTGCAGGTATAGATCGCTCTGTGCAACGGTAGGTTTCAGTCATTGTGTGGGTTATGACTTTCTTCTGTGTTCCAGCACCATCAACTGATCTGTTGGGACAGGGGTTATCATCAACTGCAGCTCCTGGACGTCCCACTACAGGAGCTGCTACTAATTTAAAGTGAATGGGGAAGCAGCCTGCTGAGCTAAAAACTTATCCTGCCTCTCCCGGAGTTCTGCATTTTTCTTGCGAACCAGTGCGGGGTTGGGTTCATTGGAGCAGTGAGCAGCAATGTGGTTGTCTTCCCCACACTTAAAACAAAACCACGGCCTCGGCATTCCAGGCACCTTAAGGCCCCTCTTCATGTTACTACTACTGATTGCAAAGCAGTCGGTCTTTTCAGTACTCTCTCTCTGATTTTGTGCTAGTTTTTCAACTTGCTTTGTCAGTTCAGCTATCTTGTTCTCAATATCAGAGGTTTCATCTCGCTTTGCTTTTACCACTAGGGGAGGATTACTATCATGAGTGAGGCTCGGTGGCTTTTTGTTTAGCTTTTCCAACTGTTTAGTTAGCTCGTTTACTTTCTTTTCAAGCTTTGATGTCTCATTCGGCTTTGAGTTAGTCAGTGGGACAGGCTCACAGTCATAAGAGGGCATATCAAAAACATGGTGGGCATACATGTTAGCTTTCGAAGCACCTAAATGCTTTTTCATCCTATCTAGCTTTGTGGAACGGCGGTCTTCCTCAGTTCTCAGCATGAGGAGGAATTCAGGAAATGTTGGTGGATTTCCCTTTTTGCACTCTAACTGTAAGCCGATGATGATGCTCTGATCCCAACAGCCCCTACAAAACTGTCTGAGCAAATGATCATTGGAATTTCCAGCTGAGGCTCCCCTCTAGAAATTGCTCTTGTGAGGAGGCTATGGAGCCTGTTCAAGTATGTTGATGGCTTCTCTCCACTATCTTGGTTAGAGCCGAGAAATGCCGCAAACAACTCCTCTCCATCCTCCACAACACCAAAAGCAGAATCAAGTTGAGTGATGTAGACACTTGGTGGTGAAGAGATGCCAAGAGGCTTCACAACATCAGCTGCTGGACTCAGCAAGCTCTCAAGAATCCTTCTCACCTTGTGAGCATCATTCAAGGAAGGATCGTTAAGGAGAAGATCAACTTGGGTGTGCCATGTTTCGTAGTCCACCTCACCGTCTGGCCTTGGCATCCGCCCAGAGAAGGTGCGCAACCTTATTTGTGGGGATGGTGAAGTGGTGGACTCACTTCGGATGACATGCTCCACAATCACTCTCTGGATCTGGGGGGGTTAAAAACATCCTCACTGATGTGGACTGGGCTCGTTGGTAAACTAGCAGATGCACTATAAACATGTGTGGGCTCTGCAGGCTCATTTTGATCATTATTAGGTGTGTTAGCATTTTGAGCTGCATAGGGCTGTGTAGCATTACTGTGTACGTCATGTGATGTGCCCTGGTTCCCATGCAGTTCCTCCTGAAGCACATTCAAGAAACCTTTCCTGCCACTGCCTGCGACAGACTTTAGTTCGTCCAGGTATCTGCAAGCTATCTCCCTCCCCACCACTTCCTGACAAACATCTCTAATGGTCCTCGCAAACCACATCACAGCTGGGTCCTTTGGACTTGGTACGGTACCCAAAGTAATGGGGTCGATTCTAGAGATAGACCTGTCAGATGCATACTGGACCAGGGCTCTACCCTCTGGTTGTCCTGATTCGTCAGGGATCCTCACTAATTTAGAAATATCTCCATTAACTTTGAACATAGCAGTTATTTCCTCGTCTGTGTATTCTGGTCCTATACCTGTTACATACAGGGAGTTTTGACCATTAACCTCAAAACGGTTGCAAATATCCATACCTGACTCGGTGGAACAAATGTCAAAAATCTCAAACGTGCGTAGTGTGGGGTGGAAGATCAGAAAGCTACTATTAACCAATCTCCTGGCTGGCTCGCCACTTTTTATGTAACCTGGACGTGTGTCCCTCTATCTATAAAGAGATGATCTATACTGCTCGCCCAAGTGCAATGTCTACAATATCCGAATCTAGGTTTGGGAAGGAGATTGGCGGTAGCAACTCTGTAAGAGCAATGAGACTTCCAACCCACATAACACGCACGACCACAGGTTTATGAAACAAAGTTTGCTTTATATATTTCCTTTTGGATCAGTTCCCTTTGCTCATCCTCAATGTAGGGATACCTTCAAATGCAGTAACCATCTCAAATGCATCACAAAAATAATTGAAACAATCAAAATAGATGTAAGACAAGAAACACAATATTTCAACACCCCAAAGAAAAGGAAAAAGAAAAGAAAATAGCACGTGAGTGTCCAGTTCCTTATGGTGTCAGTTTATTCAGTTACCCACTGTCCTGGGTTAAGAACTGAAAACGACCTGAATCTCAGGCGGAGAAAAAGTAGCAAAGAAAATGATAAGGTATCTCTCAGGTGGGCTTCCTTTTGTTTTTTTCCCTACCGCCCTCCTGGTACGGCAGGCATCAACGTGTCGGCGTCCTGACACAGAGAAGGCCTCCACAGCAGCAACAGTGTCTTAGACCCACGATACCAGCTCCTCACTTGGCACCCATGGAACTGTACCTCAAAAAAAAACCAGTCTGCACACAAATACGCAGAATGTTAGATGTCCACATTCCTTAAATGTCCTTGTTCCTAATGTCCTTGGTTCTTTTGAAATATTAAAATAAATCTGCATCTTGTGACACATTAAAAGTAAATACACCGGTATTACTGTGCATCACCCGCAGTTACAGTAACAGCACAGCTATTGCACGTGAACTGCGCATAACCACTTAGCTGGCCGCGGCTGAACTAGCAGGCCCAAGAAAGTAAAACACTAGACACTCATAATAAACAAAACTGTCATAACATTGCAATACTATGAAAACACATCTTAAACATCATTAAACACATTTACTACTATTCTGACTGGTTAGTTATTTTTTCCAGTGCATTGAACTGCAATAGCGGTGCTAAGTGAGCTAGGCTAACTCACCAGAATAGTTCAAAAAGTTCAAAGAAATACTCCGGCTCCTTTCAGGTAGGTACCCGTCTGTGGTTCACCGCTAACGACAGCTCTCTCACAAATGTTAATTAAACCTCTTTCCTCTCTTTCAACTGGAAAAAACCGTGCTCCGCGGCAGCATGGAGTTTTTCCTTGCCGTCCTTTTTCCTCTACACCACACCTTCACGCGCACGGAGCTGCAGATGGTGCCTTCAGGGCAAGCCCGGAAATTAAACTATCAGACAAGGACTACGATGCATTCAAAGAACCCTGTACTTCTGATTGCTGTAAATCTTACCAGGGTTACAACAGCATTGTGCAACTGGGGAAATACAGCAAATCAAACATTTTACAGCAAACAAACTCACTTAGACAGTAAACCTTACTGCAGTAGTCATGAAACAAAAAACTGAAAACCAGACACTGCTGCATATCAATCATTGATATCTAGACGCTCCCGTCTGTCTGCCCACATATTTGCATCAACATCACAGCGAATGTCAGCTCTATCGATGCATCGGGGAAAGCATCTTCTGGAGTGTCGAATCCACCTTCTGCAGGACTCTGCTGTGATGTCATCACAAGCTGCATCCATAGCTGCTAGCAGGGTCATTTGGGTATGTGGATGCCTGTCATATACCTTCCACCTCCAGGAAGAGAAAAACTCCTCAATTGGATTTAGGAATGGAGTGTAAGGAGGAAGAAACTCCATAAGCATCCTGTCGTGTGCTGCAAACAACTGCCTGACTACAGCAGAGTGATGGAAGCTAACATTATCCCAAACCACTACATACATTGTCCGATTGTCACCAGGATCATCCCTTTCATTTTGTGGGATTAGGTCCCTATAAAGAGCGTCCAGAAAAGCCAACAGGTGTTGTGTATTGTATGCACCAATGTGAGGAATATGGGTGTGAACGCCATTTTCTGAGATTGCTGCACACATTGTAATATTTCCTCCTCGTTGGCCTGGGACATCAATGGTGGCTCTTTCGTCCACGCCGTCTGCCTTTTGTGAGATTGAATCCCGCTTCGTCAAGATATACAAACATGTGCAGGGGTTCCCTGGCCTCCAATTCCAGGATACACTATCCAAAGGATGAGAATAAAAAAGTCTGTAATGGTGCATTTGGCACAACAGATTGTACAGTTTGAACTGTAAATAAGATTACAGTAACATGCATAAATGTAAGTGCAGTACATGGCCTAAACTTTTACAGTAAACAGAGGTACATATGCAAACATGTTTTACCTGTACATACTGGTGATGGCGCTTCTACACTCGATCACTGTTCCGTTCAAATGGTACTTTGTACAATTGCTTCATGGACATTTCATTCCGTCTGAGGACTCTGTCTATGGTGGAAATTGATATTGACTGAATATTTCCGAAGATGGTGTCATCTTCTACGACAGTTCTTTGTATTTCTCTCAGTCTCAAAGCGTTGTTTGCAGCCACCACTGCACAAATTCTTTCCTCTTGCTGCGGAGTCAAAAGTGGACCTCGTCCACCTCTTCTAGGTTGTCGGGCAGTCCTTTTTGAGATGCAGATGAAAAAACACAAACATAAATAAACGCAAACATGCTTACAGTAATGGTTACAGGACTATCATTCAAAACTCCTTTCTTTACAGCATTACTGTATTGTACCACAGCACACTATGCCACACCTGGGCCAAGTCTGCGCTTCAGTTACACTACGTCTATATGTAAAGATCTATAAGGTCATGTCCTAATGCAAGTCTCCTGTATGTCTATGAAAGTGCAGAGCAAATTAGTTTGTGCTGAATAACTACATTACAGTATGCTTGCCTGTTTTCCTGACGAAATGTCTGAATAATAGAACTTACAGTAGTTCTCCCAACATTTGGCTGCACCCTTCGACCAGCCTCGGCCATTGTGAGGCCATGGTTTATCACATGATCCACAAGTGTTGCCCTGATTTCGTCAGGGACGTGTCTATGTGGTTGGCCTCTTCTTACCCGGTTTTGTCCTCGTCCTCGTCCTCCACCGATCCTCACCCCTCTTCCACAAGGCTGACGTTCCATGTTTTGTAGATTCAGTATGCACCTCATGCCAATCCTGTCTGTTGGTTTACATTATATATATACTTGTAGAGTAGGGGATCCTGTAACGCGATTCACCTGTGACTGGGTAGAAGAGGCTTTTCATTGGTTGCAAGTAAGAGTAACACACACCAATTTTCATTAGTGTGAGATAAGGTTCACCTGAGAAAAGTAATTTATGGAGATTTTCATGGAAACTCCTTAAAAATAGGGTTTTCAAAATGGGTGTACAAATTGTTTGACAAGATGTTCAACAATTTTGAGTGCACTGACACAAGCAATGAAATGAAGACTATTAGTTGTAAGGACAATGACTATTCAGTCGGTACAAGTATAAATAATTGTGACATTCATGATAAAAGCAAGGAGATGGTGATGAACAGCAAGTCAAAAGTGACCATTCTTTAGATATTTGTACTTACTCAACTGCTTCGGACATGAAGCCAAATGAACATGAAACTGGCACAAGGTTGTGCCAAAACGACTACATGTTGTGGAGGTTGAACTAACTATTGTGCAAAGTTTAGTTCTGTTGTGAGAAATGCACCAAAGCAACTGAGAAAAACTGTAATTCCAGTTGTTAAAGATATTCTATTATCAAAGTACTCAGATGCAATGAAATATCACTCAGACACCTAGAGCAGTTTTAAACGTGCACGGGTGAGAGACTCAGGGAGAGACTCACACACCTCCTTGGTGCAGTCTGGCTTTATTTATACACATCATGAAGCATACAAAAAAGGAAATATCATCCTTATCTTGTCAAGAAAACAGGTGTGGTTTATCAAAAAACTTCGTGTTCTCTACAAGGTTGTTTCTTACTCGTGGGTGGCGGTTTCCTGCTAGTGTGAAGGCAAACAGTGACAATGTGAAGGCAAAGACTGATAATGTGAAGGCAAACAGTTTCCGTTATAGAGTAGGGAGCCAGCAATTAAAATATGCAGCTGGTTGAGTACAGAACAGAAATATAAACAATCTTAGCTGATTATTATATGAATAATAAAACCTTCAAAAGCAAAATACTCTGACACCAGTGCAGCTGTAGATTGAAAGGTCAGAGTACATCATACACCCAACAAGGGTGTATGATGACAGGGAAATCTCAACATGGAATCTTGCAATGGCTGGGATGAATCTAAGTGGTGCAACCTTTGACCTTAACCTCTGTCTGGGTTGTCTGTAGTATCTGGAATAGTCACTGCCACACTTTCTACTTTCAGCAGGAGCTGGTTCTCTGGAGATTTCTAATCAGTTTCCTTGGGTTTATTTCTCACAGAAACGCTTTGGCTACTGCACCTGAATCTTGTTTGCTAGAAGGGAAAACATCCCAGCAAGCACCAAACACTACTTTTTAATCACCACATGGTAGCAGTTCAGATCACATAAAAAAGGGAAGCAAAATTAAACGCATTCAGGACAAGAGCCTATTGAAATAAGACAGGAAGTAACACATACTGAAACCCAGACTAAGACACGTAAACTTTACACGGGGACATTGGAATGAATAGACATGGAGACAAAAAGACACAGAGATCAGACAAACAGCATCAGGAGATGCTGAAGACTGAACACAAACGAGACGTAGTCAGACGGCACATGAAAAAGAAAACAGCCATGAAAACAAGCAAGAACCAAAAACTAGAAACATAATTAAGTAAAACAGTCTCTCAACAGCTAAACATAATCATCTCATAATTCCAAAGAATGAAAAAGTCCAAACAAAAACCTGAGGTCAAAGACCCAGGACCATGACACTTCCTATGTGTCAATTTAGCATAATGAGGGGAAAAAATGTGGGGCAGATATGGTTTGTCACTAGGGCCATACAGGACCTCACCTGTTATGTACACTCCTGCTGTTTTCCACACATTTCTCCTCTGGGTAACCTTGCTATGGGTAGTCTGTAAGTCAGTGTTTGGAGAGCGTGTGGTTTTGATGTCATGCTGTGGTCTGGTTTCACATTCTGATTAGCTGCTGTGTTGGCTGAAGCATCCAGTGTATAGCTGTCTGTAGAAACAGAGTCTTCTGAGTTAGTGTGAGCTTCACATTTACAGAAAGGTCTTTGGGAGTAACGAGGCCTCCAACAATGGAGCTACAAGTTTATGATGTGCAGTGGATTTCTCTGAATTAGTTAAAAACTATTGTTTCCGTAATGTGACAAAATAATTTATCACCGCATATCTGGAATCAGATAAAGTGATTATTTGGACCTTAGCAATTTCACATGCTTGTGTGAATGCTACCAGTGCAGCTGCTTGAGCTGAATAGAGACGACAGTGATGAGCATGATGCTAAGATGTCTTGTTCTATGCTCTGTGCATATTCTACTTGATTTTGACTGGTGTCGGGATTGCATGATATTAAATCCACTAGCTAAATCAAAGATAGAATAGTATTTTGATTTAGTCAGCACCGTCAAGATCTCTTCGATTCAAGCAAGCATCTTAGCTTGTCTTGCTCCTCTGTAGATAGGTTTGAATTCCCTTGTGTCATAACTTCAATATCAGGTGCATTACTAGCCCAGTTAGTAGTTGGTGGACACCAACTTCAGCAATACCTGGCCTGTTTTGCTCAAAAGTAATTTCAAAAGGTTCCTGAATGTCAACGTTTTCAGTAGAGAATATAGCAAAGGCCTCATAACCTCGTACAATAATATAAAAAAATGGTTGCGATTCCTTACTTCGATGGGGACTCTGTCTCTACAGACAGTTCCTAGAGATCGAGCAACAGCAACTGTACTAAGCCCCTCAAGTGGTTCCACCAAAATACATTGCTCTTTCCCTAGTGTTTGTGGGGCCCTGACCCAAATCACCTGCTCACTCTGTCCAGGGATTACCACTGGGTGGCGATAAGCTGGTCGAAGAGTCCTATTGCAGGCAGAATTCTCTGACAGTCCTGAAAAGCTGCTGCCCATACTTGTTGAGTGTTTACATTGGATCCAACAGCATCTGTATCTGAGGCTTTGAGAAAAGCATATCCCAGCATGGAACAATGACATTCATTCCTAAAATAGGCAGTGCATTTGGATTATTATTGTCATCACAATTCCCATATCCTTCAGAGTAATATCTCCCATCTGTACTTCGGCTAAAACATAGCCCACATAAGGAATTGCTAATCCATTTGCTGTTTTCCACTTTAACCAGTTGAGATCTCTTTCATTTCCTGGTTCATGATCTCCAAACAACCTCTTAAAACAGGCTTCAGGCATTATTGTTACATTAAAACCA